CCCCCCGCCCCCCTTTTTTTTTGGCTGAAAACTGCCCACACAGTAGCCGAGGTGGAAAACAGGCTCTTGGGAGCAATATCTATCCACAAACAGATTCCCAGCACGCTTCCAGTTTGAAAGAACATGTTTCCAGTTTGTTTCTTCCTTCTCCCCCTAAAAGCAATAAAAAATAAACCTCACAAGTCACTGCCATCACCTCAGTCAAACCGATTTTTCCTTTATTAGGTCCAATTCTGCAACCCATACATTGCGACACAATAAAGGAAGAAGTTATTTGAAATAAAGTGATATTTTAACATCTGTGTCTCCAGGCAACAGTGTATAATCCATTAGCATCAGTAAAACTTTGAGTAATGCACCTAGAAGAGAAAAGAACAGAAAAGGCATTAAAGAAGCAGCCACAAAGTTTCCGTGGGATCTCAAATGTATTATTTCCATTGCTCGTTCTTACATTCATTAAATAACGCAGTTTAATCACACTCAGCCCCTAAATGCAGTTACCACATTCCCAGCCCAGCTGTCTCAGCACCTCCTTGAACCAAGACATCATATCCCAGGGCAAGGAGAAGGGCAGAAACTTAAAATCCAGAATTAACTCATCTACTCTAAGCATAATATTAAAAAAAGAAAAAGGCTGGAACATGACACTGGCCACCTCCTGAAGAAACAGAATTAAGAGACTGCCTTTAGGTAACTTCATGACCATGAGGATTTTTATTTCTTGCTTAATTTTAGCACATTAAGTCTTGCCTATACTTAATGACAGACCCTCATTAATCAGAGAAGCCACTGTTCAGTAATTATGCCTTCAAATGTTGCAGCTCATGTTGAGAGACTGGTATTCATGATAGAGATCTAAATGCTTTAGTTACAGTTGTTTTCAAGTTTAGAAAGTACTCAGAAGTTCAGCTCTGAAAAAACAGTAAAACAAGTGGCTTTCCGAGACTTGATGCCACCGCAATCAGGATGAAATACTATGTGCACTGCTCCTGAAACTATCTACTGAGCCTCACAAGTATTCTGCACACAGATCAGTTAAGATCTGGCTATGCTACATCTGATCCGATTATTTTGTAAGCAAGGGACCCTCCAAATTAGTGTTTAATTACAGAAAAAAGGTGCTATTTCAAGTGTAATATGAAGAAGTGTCAGTGTTGCTGGGTGACTACCATCAGTGGTGCCCATTTTCTAGCACAAGCCAGTCATTGGTTAAATTGGCTACCGTGACAATAAAATGAGACTTGGTGCATTTCCAGAGGAAATGATCCTATCGTTTGCTAAAAATGCTTCTGGGGGAGAAGCTGATGAGGAGCAAAGGTCAACATGCTGCCAACAAAGTGCTGCAATAACTGTTGTCTTGACAACTGCTATTTAGAAATTTCAGGGAGGTTGGGTATGGTTGCCAAACGCCCTATCCCTTCTCAAGCAACTGCCTTTAAAAAAGAGTTTCTTTGAAAAAGAGTTACTACCTTTTCTAGGAGACCCGTACTTATAGATGTAGTGGGAGAATCATGTTACAAGAACTTCGCAGCCTCTCACAGACCCCCAAAGGCAAGGAGGATGATTCTGTCTTTACCAGGAGAGTTTTAGGCTACCGGAGTCCCATGCCAAGAGCCTCGGAAGCAACAGCACCCCTTACCAATACGATTTATGCTTTGTCCAGGCCCAGTTCCTCTGGAGTAGAGATTCCCAATTCACTCAAAGTTGGTCTAAGTTCCTGGATAACGTAAGGATAGATTTCCTTGTGAGGTCCTGCCTTGTCCTAAAATGAAAAGTAATGGTGTTATTTCAACAGCAAGTTCTTGTCAAGGCTCACCATACGCCAGCCAGGTTTGCAAACAAGATGTGTGCTCACAAAACTGATCCACCAAGACACCTGATCAGTAAAAAGGGAAAAAAAATAAAAATCAACTTTTGGGCAGACTTGAGAGAAAAATTTAACTTGCTTGGAAATTAGGGGAAAAACATCACCCCCTGAATAATATTTAGGCAGGGTTCCAGGAAGACCATAAATCTGCTCTCAAGTTCTGATAAACTGAGTTGTCCCCCACATGGTAGAGGAGCAGAAAGTTAAAAAAAAAAAAAAAAAAGCTACATGGAATACATGAAGATTCTTCCATTGGTCTTACATCTCTGAAACCACTGCAAGAGTTTCTGTTCTACAGAAGAATGCAGAAAGAGGAAACAGAAGGAACTGGTTGTGGAGTAGAGCTTGAAGCAAGTGGATTTAACAGCAAAGACCTCCTCACTGTGGCAAAAAAACCAAACAAACAAACAAAAAAAAAAAAAAACCAAAAAAAAAACCCAGAAGAGCATAGCTGCTGGCTTCTGAGACTGAAACAGAACTCCTGCCCTCCACCCCACCCATTTTAACTCCCTGTTAAGTGAAGGCTGGAATCAGGTTTCAAGGTGCTGGTTTATGTTGTTTTTCAAGCCTATGCAGCTTCCTGAGTTCCTTCTCCCAACCAGCTGAATATTTAGTCCTTGAAGCAGCCAGTAAGCTGTCTCTGCTGACAAATTTCTAGCGATGCTCAATTTAAAAAAGCGGAAAGCAATCCTTACAGAATTCCCCACCGGAGTCAGCATCAGGAAAGGAAAATAGGCAAGTAAGAATGCCATACTTGTGAAGCTGTGCTGTCCAGTGCTTTTACCTCAAAACGATTATTTCAAGCACATGCTCTGGCAGCAGGAAATAGTGGGTTTCCCTTTGCACTGCTAACAGCAACCCAAGAAAAAATGTTTTCTGCTGCTGGGCTCTCAGCAATGCAAACACAGGAGCTAAAGCCCCGGCTGCCATTCCACTCACCTTTACAACTTCTAAGATGCGGACGGCACTGGCAAAGTCATTTAACCGTCTGCATGCCCTCAGAGCTGCATCGATGATTTTTGGTTCTGGAACCAGGTCATAACCCACAAGTGTGTTTATTCCTGTGAACACAAGAAAACACCAAGAGGAACTTGGCATCAACTCATCATGCTACCAAAAGGAACCTGCTGAGTGCTATTTTCCTCCACCTCATAAAAGAATTCAGTATTACCACAACACCAGTCACCATTCGAAGATGATTAAAATTTTCACTGCTATTTTTGGGGATATACACACAGAGACAAGTGTTCTCTTTTGCTCTTCTCCCTCTCACTGTTGCTCACTACTGTAGACTTTAGGTGGTTTTCATGGAATCCCAGTGAGACACTTTCATCCGCGCTCCCAAAAGGAGTCAGTGTCTGTACTGCAGCACAATTATGGAATCATTAAGAAATCCAAATGACTTCATTCCTACAGGTGTAATGAAATTAGAACTCCAGCTGCTGTCTATTCCCTTCCTCTCTTTTCAAAGGAAAAAGCCCAGCACCTAGTCATCCAGGTGATGCTAGAATGATCCCTCTGGCTGTTATGCAAACACATTTAAAAGCCCTAATTGGGGTACTTCAATAGCAGCTGGCAGCTCCACAGCAAACAACTGGAGACAGCCAGACAGCCTACAGTGAGTTATGGCCAAGCCATTAAGTTAAAAGTCCAAAGAAAAATGTGTGTGGTTATTCACTAAACAACAGCTGAGCTCAAATACACTTTCCTCAGAGCAAACTTTTCTTCCAATCCAGGTGATAAAATGCATATTCTGGGGCACTAAAATTTACAAAGCCTGGACTCTCATCACCACTCTCCTCATTCTGCTCGCCGTGGTTCCTTCCAAACCACTCATTTGGTTGGTTAGGTGCCATCACCTGCTGCAAAGGCTCAGAGCTGAGCAAACAGCAGCACACCAAGCACAGGCACATGCGGAGCAGCCCCATGACTCAAAACAGATAAAGAAAGGCTCATGTAGTGCCTTGCCCCCAGCTGGGTATTTACAGGATTGCTCTCCTACACCAAACTATTTCTGCTCTCCAATAGCAAAGTAAAAGTAAGTTTTTATTTCTGGTCACCAAACTATTACGAAGCAGTTATATTTACTCCATGTTACTCTTCCCCTTTCACTCAACATACCTTTCCTGAGCTCCCAGGCATCGATATCTGGCTTGTTGAAATAAGTCACCCAGCGAGCATCAAATTCTTCATCTGATTCTTGGGACCCATGAGAGTAGCAGCGGGCATGCAGTACAGCTGAATGCAAGAAGAAAAGGAAAAGGCTCTGAGCAAATGGAAAATAAGTTCACTTTAGTCTTGACCAAGAGATCAAAAGCCATAAAATAGGTATTTCACTCAATACAGTCACTCTGGATTCAGTCCTCAGTCTGGAGAAGCACGGGACAAACATAACTTAAATACTGGTTGTTTGTTTTGTGGAAAAGCATGTATTTTCTGTTCTACATCAGACTTCCAAAGCATTCCCAGATCTGTCAGTCAAAGGAGGATTATTTAAGGAAAACACAAGAGAAAATTCTGTATAACCAGTCCTTAAGTGAAGTTTTCTGGGACCCCTGTTTCCGTAAGATAAAGGAATTTTCCCGCTTCACAGAGCCAAGGAAGCTAGAAAAACATAACATACATATACTTCATCAACAGACAAGCTGAAGTAGCAAGATTGTTCTGTTCCCCACATTCAACCCCCCTCAAAACCATAGGATGTGTCCATGGAGAGAGTTTCGCTACATCAACCAGTTTTTTCATTCCTGCAAGAAATACAACTCTCTATCCTATTAGCTAAACCATTAGCCACTTAAGATGAATGAGCTGGTTTATTCTGGAGTAACTTCCTACTCCTGAAATTGCTCCATAATTTATTTTGTAATCCAGGAAAAGCAGATTTCCCAACCAACAGACTGACTTTGACGGACAACTCGACAGCAACAATCTGCAGGTCTTTGATTCCGCCACGAGTTCAGAGCTGATGAAGGCTTGGTTTAAAGTGGTTTTAAGAATCTGTGCAAAATGACTAGAGCCAACTATAAAGGCTCTCAAAAGCACAAGGGACAAGAGCTATTACAGGCTAGTGAAGTTTTGAAGGAGAAAACAAAAATCACTGTTGTCTCTGTGTCTATTCAAGATAAAACTCCTGGATCTCAAGATTGTAATTGCATTAATAGTTCATAATTAATAAAGCACAAAAGCAGATTGTACTCCAATGGGCAAATAAGATTGATCCAAGTATAAAGTCATTTATTCCCTCAACACTACTTTATCCCAAATTGCTTTTTTGCTGGTCTTTTTTTTTAATCTACAAAGGCTGGAAGAGCTTTCCAAAAGGAATTAAAATCTAGAGTACAGCCAGCTCCACACACATCAGAGCCGTACAGGGTCATCCCTGCAAAGTCCAAGCACTTTGCAAGCTGCCTTACCGGCACAACACAGCCTGGTTAGGGGCTCCTTCCTTTCCCGGCTGGTAATTCCACTCCACTAATATTTGCAGAGAGATCATACACCAGATATGACCTTGCCAGTCCGAAGCTCTGCTTCAGAGGAAGTTGGATAGAGCTAATCACTTTTTCTTTCTTAATCTAGCATGAATCACTCGCATTGACCAACATAAAGTTTTATTTTAAGAAATAACCCACCCCCCTCAAACCATATATCTTGCATTTTGTACACAAGATCAGACTGGGATGCATTTCTGCATCATTCCCAGATATATTTTTCTACTTCAGAGATCACAGTGAGTAGCATATGGCAAAGCAGCATCCTAATTCTACATAAAATAAGATGGAATGAAACACAGTAATTTCAGAGGGCATCTTTAGCGTCATTAAATGACAGCTCAATCAGAATGGATGCTGATTTTTTTAAAAAAATTAACATGGTCCAACATTTCAGCTGCAGTTCTGGTGTACACAATGCTTCCTGAACCATGAAAATGTTTTATCTACATAGGTAAAAGAAAAGATAGGCCAAGCCATAATAATAAAATCTTGCAGTTCTCTAGGGAGACTCCTCAGCCGCTCTCCAGCTCCAAACCAGATCTTTGACCCTGCTTTCTCCGATAAATCACACGCACAGCTGAGTTCAGAGCCAGGGCACTAAGTGCTCCTGTACCCAGGCAGGGAATGAGAGGACACACTGAAAAGCCCTCGGATGCAGGTTGCTTGGGGAAAAATAACTTTTTTGCTAAACACAAAGCTAATCCTACAGAGAAACAGCAAATCTGGTTGAGAAAAGCCTAGATTGAAGTTCTCATATGCCATCTTTAAGTCAAAAAGCTCTTTCCACTGAGTGCTCAACATTCCCTTTAGTCTTAAACAAAGGAATGACTCGGGTGCTAAAGAAAAAAATAAATAAAAGACTATAAGAATTTGAACCCTGGATTTCCAGGAGGTATTTTTATCAATTGCTGTGATGTTTCTTTATGACCCTTTGCTCTCCACACTAACTCTTATATCTGGAGACCAGACTTCACAAGTCACCCGGGCAAAGCAGAAGCACCGCAGGAGTTGACCGGGTGCCTCGCGTTTCAGTGGGGTCCATCAAGGTCACCGTCACAACACTCCAACCATGCCAACGCACCCGTGTGGAGATTCCCAACTCAAGGAATAGCAACGGCCATGTATGTTTGAAGAGGTGTGTTTTCAAGAGAATTCAATGAGCTTTGAGAGCCTGAGAAATCATCTGATATTACAAATACACATGTTTATAATCTGCCAGAATTTGTCAGATTTCCCTGTTAATGAGTACAGAATACAAACAGACATCAAAACGACCACTAATTTACCAAAAAAGGCCAATCTAGCAATGAGAAGCCCAGGGCTGCACGTGCATTACACGCAAGACATTACATAGCACAAACCTAAGCCCACGGGCTTGCAGGATGAACCCAGCGCCTTAGATTTGCCAAAACACAACCCATCGAAGGTGAATCGGGTCAGGAGTGTTAAGTGAGGCGTTTGTAATACAAGACCTTGGAAAAGAAGCACACGGAGCAGAGACCCGAGGAGCACGAGCAGCCAGGGCTCAGCAGGAGTGCAAAGGCACTGCGAGCAAGGAACTTACTTATTTTTAAAAGGGGTTTTTAAGAAGGATCTGAGAAATCCCAGCGTGCAAACAGAATGTCCACCACATATTACTTTGCATTTTTTAAAAAATATCGTAATCCACTCCCTACGGCTGCTGTTTAATTCACGTTAATTAGCTGCCCATTAATTAGCTGTTAATTGAGATGCCGGGGCACTGTCTTCTCTGCAGCCTTCAGCTCCATTCCCACCGCGCTGGCTGTGGCTGTTTTTCTTCCTCTTCCTATTAATTAGAGCGTTAATAGGGGAAAGGAGAGGAAGCGAGGGACGAGAGCAGGGCTGTTCCCGCCGCGATCGCCCCCGGGCCCGGGGGGAGGCTCGGTGTCCCCGGGGCTGAGCTACCCGGCCGTGGAGGTCACCCCCGACCTCCCTCAATGTCACCTTGACGGGAGGCCTGTGGACGATGCAACCGCCTTCCCCGTTACAGCCCCCGCGAAGGGCCCGGCGCTCCCCG